GCGAGGAATCCGTCCCAGAAAAGAGCGGGGAGCCATGTTTTTTACCCAGCGTCCATTTTGAAACCGCCAATTAGCTGGCCGAAAATCATCGCTTTGTGAGAATCGGTTCCCGAAGCAGGGAACCGATCATCGCAAAGTGAAATTCCCCCATAGGAAACATCATTTTGCGATCGCAAAACCTTCAACATAAAGCGATTTTGTCGTAAAACAGAGTGCCCGTAATGCGAGGCACCACTGTAGTACCTCAGTTTATGAAATTAATGTGTTCTACAGGACGTTACATAAAGTGAAAAAATTGTAAACCAAAACACAGATTGCCACAGGAATAGGGGTGGCACTATAAACCTCCAGGCACAATGCATCCTCGGGAAACTTTCTTCGTACTCCGGGGGAAAAAAAGTAAACTGAACCATTATTTTCAAAGGATTTTTATTTGTAAACCGAAAATTATGTTAACCGAGGTGTTCGTAAACCGAGGTACTACTGTATACTGTAACATACTCTGCATTGGGCTGCTTTTGAAAATTATACAGATACAGCAAATAGTATCACACTCAGCCATCTACATGTCTACAGAGACAAGCTGCTGGCCATAAGGAGCATGTGATTCCCTTGGTGTAATAGCTTCACTAACTACTCAGTTCCTGCCAGACATTATTCAAAATATTAGTTATGATGAGGGATGGGACTTCCAAGTTAACCCAAATGGAAAACAAACATGAAAGAGGCTCTTTCTTCCAATTTTGGATTATTTTGTTAGGGTCTGATAGAGAACCTCTGAAATCTGATACTTTTGATTTTCCAAAAGAAAGCTTTACTAAAAATAATGGATTTTTATTGGAATTATTCTACTAGATTTCCTTTCTTTGATTAGGGCTAACACGTAAAATCACCTTGCACTGATATTGAAAAAATAGCCCTCCTACACCACTTCTTCCTCCCTCTTCTCACCTCAGCCATTACTGCTACTACGCATCTCTTGGCTCTACCAGCCCTGATTTTTCATCCCTTTCTTTTATCTCTCTGTTGCTATGCATCTCCTGCCTTGCCAGCCAGTCTTCCATCCTTCTCCTTACTTCCTTGCCACTGCTAATGCCACATGACTCCTTAGTCTGCCCACCTGGCTCATTTTTTCCACTCTCTCTCCTTGCCTTGCCACCACCACTACACTTTTTTGGAATAGCACCAGAATCCTGAAACCCTAACTGAAAGAATCCAAAAAACTGGGTCGGATTTGGGGTTTACTGAAAGATCCAGTACATGAATGACACAAAACTAATGAGATATATTGGAAAAACCCTAAATGAACAAAACTGGAAGGTTTTAGTCATGCATGGCCATCTCATGAGTAGACGCCCTGGAAAAGACCCTGATGTTGGGAAAGTGTGAAGGAAAGAGGAGAAGGGGGTGACAAAGGATGAGATAGTTGGACGGTGTCATCAAAGCTAACAACATGAATTTGACCCAACTCAGGGAGGCAGTGGAAGACAGGAGGGCCTGGCATGCTCTGGTTCATGGAGTCACGAAGAGTCGGACATGACTAAATGACTAAACAACAACAACTCATGCACATCCTTAGTTGTGGCTTCTAAAACTCTGCAAAATGTAGCGAGTAGTTATCCAAGAGGCCTCATGCTCGTTTAACAGCCTTTCCGAGTTTTCACTTCCTCAGGAAATGCCCTTTCTTTTTGCCCTGCCATTGTTTGCACCCATTCTTTCATGGGAATTCAAGAAAAGGCTTTCTTAGAAATTACTCCCATACTCAGGAATGCTTAACCTGGGTAACTTTCCTCCTTTATGACCAGCTTCTGTCAGGAAAAATCATTTCTATTCAGTCCAGCCTTTGGCTTGTCTCTTGCCATGCAAATATGTTATTTTTAGTTTTAATTGGTTGTCTTTTCTGATCGAGAACACAGTCATTAACTAAACAATACTAATGAGTCAAAACTAGGCCATCTGAAGCTGTGTTGCATCTAAGCAGCTGATGTTATGCTGGATCTGCCTCTTTCCCAGCCTACAGATGCTGGAAATGATTTAAGATTACCCTCATCCTGGTCTAACTTTGTGCCACTACTTTGACTGTGTTTCTGGCTGGAGATGGTTTTGATCCGTTGTAAGTCATCTTGTCCTAAGAGGCACTCATGCTCTATGCCATTTTTTACTGTTCTGCTGGCCTATCTTAGCCAGGAGAACTGGCTAGGCCTCTGAGATCGGTTGGAAGAAAAAGGTTGTGTAGTGCCTGATTGTAACACCTTAAAGCCAGCATCACACATCTTTGAGTCAGGATTCCTCTGAGTACAGATGTCTCGCCTTTCTTTTTATGTTTTTTTATTTTACATTTTGCTATATTTGTATTACTGTTCTTAGAGACTCACACTGGAACTGAAGAGGGTTCAGTTCCCCACTCAGCTGTGGAAACTTGCTGAGGTGGTGGCCAAAATAAATCAGTCTCTGAACGCCTCACATACCTCATGTCAAAAGTCAAAAGCAGCTTAACAACACATAATATAAATCACTGCTGTTAGTTGATTTGAACAGCCTCTCACTGGCTGTGAATATGGCATACTAAAAAAAAGAAGTAGATGAAATATTACATGGGACAAGAGACTGAATAATAAATTAAAAATTCTTGCTCAGTTGATGTTTGCAAACCAGATGCCTTCTCCAAAAGCAATTTTTTGTTTTAAAGATATTGTATTTCCCAGATACTTAGAAGGATTAGTGTTTGATTAGATACTTTCAGTGAAGTTGCAGTGTTCTCAAAGAGAGAGCAGCCAGAATACATCATAGTTCTAAGGCTTTTAAAAAGGAATCATTTTTCAGTGTAAAAGTAGTGGCATGCAAGACCTCTCAACTGTCTCTCATTCAACAGCATTTTTACGGTGTTTTTGAATGCAATTAATAAAATACTACAGCTTCATAGTCAATAGTCTTCACTTTAAATTTCAAGCTGTAATCTTTATTTTTGGTACATTGGATAATGAGGTCACATGAGATAATACCATCAATATGCATTTTCATTTCTAATATTATTAAAACACCAAGGGTATTCCTTTGTTCTTTTCTGAGGAAATAATTAATATCACCCATGTCAAATGAGCAAGTTCAAAGGTCTAACTGTTCATAATTAAATTATAAACGAAGCATGATATTAAAAATTAAAGCAATTAGAGCTTTCCCCTATGTTAATGTTCAACGCATCTCAATTGAGTCTTTCCAGCTGTAACAATGTTGCATCCTTCTAGTTGTCAAGGTTTTCTGTTATTTTTTGATAGGCTTCAATATTTGAATTTTATTGTTTGAAATTCAGAACTTTTGTTTTGAAGTTTGGATTTTGGATATTTAAAAAAATTGTATAACAAAAACAAAACAAAGAAAAAGCAAAATCTTCAGGTGCTTTCAGTGTGAGCTTTCATTACTTAAATCTATTATAAATTTTAAAAATACTTACTTTCTGGCAGTGTCTTGGATCTAGATTAAGTTATGCTTTTTTCACATAGCAACTTGTTGGACTTAAGTAATTACTAACTTGTTCACACTGAGTCTGCATCCAACCAAATTGTCAGAAAGACAGATTCAGTATTTCTGAACTTCTAATGAAGCTCTTAAATCAAGTAGAATTCATACTAGGAATGTTGAAAAAAATCTGAACCAAGAGATAGTGATTGGATTTAAAAGCTGTTTACTCATATATGGGCTGCAATCCTACTCACATTTAACTAGGAGAATTGTTCAGAGTAGCAAAGTAATAAGTGTAGGATTTTCCTGTCAAATGACTTTTTCCAAGCCTTGTGAAATTGATTACTTTTTCTTCAGCAGCTGAACCTCATTCCATATCACAAACTGCTTTTGAAACAGCTTTCAGTTTCAAAAATAATTTGCCCCTATAGGGAACCTGCTACTGGGGAAACAGAAGCCAGGAGCAACCTCTTCCAAGCTGGTACCTTCTATATATAGTTTGAGTTATATTTCATTATCACTGATCATCAGCCATGCTGGCTGAAACTAATAGAAGTTGCAGCCCAAGACTTCTGGAAGGTGCTACATCATGGGAAGCTGTTTTGGTGATATCCTTGAGACCACAAAGAACTTCACATTCTTGGGATCCCAGCCTGTAAATTTGCATTTTCTTAAGCAATGCAAAATAGGAGATTTGGTTTGGTATCCCACCTTACTATTAACACCTACTTTCTCCCAGTACACAAAGTTCTTTATATTTATATTACAGTCCTTAGATCAATTAAACCAAAATAATTACAGTTTCAACCTTTCCAACATAAAAACATAACAGAATTACCACTTACTTTAAAATCTACTTAAAATCCATAATTTAAAGCCATTTAAAATCTACACATCTAAAATTTATCTACACTTTGATTTCTGGAATCTAAGTATCGCCATGTAGAAACTTGCAACGTGATAAGTAATCTTAGAGTCTTTATATTCAAGAAGAAACTGGAGTCTAATTTCTTCTGTACGACCTGGGATTTTTTTAAACAGTGGAAAAATAATCTGGTTACATGCAGTCTCATCGTGGGGACAGGTAAAAAACATGTGTTGCATAGTTTCTACCACCCCTAGTGAACAGGAGAAAAGTCTTTCTGCATGAGGCACATTCCTATATTTCCTTCGAGAATGGCAAACGAAAGGGCAGAGCATCTTGCTAGTATAAAAGCATTTCTAGATCCTCTCACTTCTAAATCGTCTCACTTTTAAGAGTGAGTCTGCCAGTTCCATGGGTTTATTAATGTAGGCCCTTAACAAAAGATTCTTTACACTAGCAAGATCAGCTTGGTGTTCTATATCCTCAATTCTTTGTTTGACTAATTTCCTTGCCTCGTTTATTTGGTACAACAGCAGCACTTGTGCAGATAGACCAATTTTCATCAAATGGCTCTGGACAGCCCTTACCCAGTTGGATTGGAAATGAAGGGCAGAAGGCCTTGGGAGTTGTTATGTGACACAGTTTTTTTAATGTTGCTTCTTCCCTTCATGTTTAGGCAGAAAAGGGTACATCTACAAACTCTGAGGGCCCTATCAGAAGTTCAGAAAATGACACCACGTGAACGGATGAGGCTGCGGAAGCTAACCATTGCTGATGAGACAGCAAAGAAACTGAAGTAAGAATCAAATTACTATTTTAGCCTCCAAAAGACTTTGCCTTCTCCTAGTCTAGAGAGAAACTAACTCCTTTGTGGAATTAGTCTACCTTGCCTTTTATCATTTTCTTCTCCTCCTGCTTTCTTCAGTTTCAATTTTTTTCCCGACAGTACCTCTAAGACACTGCTCAGTTTTGTCAGAGGATCATTTGTATGCTTTTAAAGCAGGGGTCAGGGAACTTTTTTACCTTTTACTCCCCCCCAAAATTTATATACGCCAACATTACCCCCTTGATTTGAAAGGAAGGAAATAATACATTATTTGAATTGAAAGTATTATTGATTCTACACAGGCTGTGTACCGAACTAGCAGGTTATATCATCAGTATCAATTGCTGCCAGGCTATGTACCGAACTAGCAGGCTGCACCAAATTTAATAAAGATGTGCACTATTTTTGCTGGAACACATTGCACTCAAGCAATGGGGTAGTATAGGGAGTAGTGTGTCCAACTTGCCTAGCAAGTTGCATTAAATTTTTGCTAGCTCTCAGAGGATTTAATCATCATCAATGGTTGCCAGAGTGGTGCTAGCAATGATGTGCTTGTTAAAGACAGCCAATAGAGTTTATAGGCTAGATCACTGCAGCTCATTCCCGTCCCTAAAGTGTACAGATGGCTTGTATTGTGCTAAATTATTTCTTGATGCCCTTGTTCAAGCTTCCTTCAGCTTCCATGGCCGGGGGAAAATGCAGGAAATATTCTGTTTCCAACATAAAGTCTCAAAATTGAATAAAGGTTATCAGTGTTAGAGGTATGACTGGGATTGTATCCATCTTTCCAGAGAGATGTCCTTTACCTTTGAAGGTCTTGTTCAGAGATTTCAAAAACCTAGAGTAAGAGAGATCATCAAGTAAATTCTGACATATAGTGACCCTTTTCAGAGTTTTCCAACTAGTGAATACTCAGAAGTAGTTTTCTGTTCCTTTCTTCCAGGGAATGCCCTGGATCTGTGCAGCTTGCCCAAGGCCACACAGGCTGGCTCTTCTCCCAGGAGGCACAATGGAGAATCAAAATCTCAACCTCTGCTGTGCAGCCAGATAGCTAAACCACTGAGTCACCCAGCCAGCTAATACATTGTTTTGGAAAAAAAAAAAGATTATTATATGACTGTTACAACAGTGGTTTTCCCAACCCATCAACCTCTGGTTGTATATTAGATACCGTCATCACCAGCCAGCATGGTCAATGGGTGTATCAGATGTGAGTTGTAGTCCATATGAAACTTCTGTGGATGCCAGAAGTTTGTCCAAGGCATTCTGGTGTCCAGGCATTGAAGGTGTCACACCTTATAGTCAAAGTTTCCCTTCCTCGTGGCGCAGTGGTTAAAACGCTGTACTGCAGCTAAAACTGTGCTCACGACCTGGGGTTCAAATCCCAGGTAGCCGGCTCAAGGTTGACTCAGCCTTCCATCCTTCCGAGGTCGGTAAAATGAGTACCCAGCTTGCTGGGGGGGCAATGTGTAGCCTGTATAATTTAAAAAATTGTAAACCGCCCGGAGAGTGCTTGTAGCGCTATGGGACGGTATATAAGTCCAATCAATCAATCAATCAATCAATCAATCAATCAATCAATCAATCAATCAATCAATCAATCAATAAAGGGTACTATACTACAGTGGCATTATAAGAAGACAAGCTCCCTGGAAAAGGCAGCAATGCAGGTAAAAGTGCAATGCAGTAGGAAAAGAGGAAGACTGCACATGAGATGGATTGACTCAATAAAGAAACACACAGTCTTTTGTTTGGTGCTGCAATCAAAGTAGGACCAGGAGCAGAAAGACTGGGATTCAGATTTTGGGAATAAACTGTGATACTCACCTGCTTTGGGGGTGAGAAACAGAGAAACGTGGTTGCTACACACTTCAGACTTCTGCTGTTCTCAGCAGAAACTACAGAGCTAAATGCAGTGGAGATTAAATTTTAGAAGGTTCCTTTTTCCATGGTTTTATGATGGAGTCATATCTCTCTCTCTCTCTCTCTCTCTCTCATGCACACACACACACACACAAACCCTTCCTCCCTCAATTTCGAACAATTAGTTGCTTCAGTTCAGTATGTCCATTTCCTCTCATTACATTTAAACAAGCTTGATGAAGTCACCCTTTCCCCCTTAATTCAAGCCTTCCATCCTTCTTGCCTGTTCCTTTTTTCAGTTTTGAGTCAGTCCCTCTCTCTCATACACAGACACACACACACACATCCACCCACCCACTCTCGCTCCCTCCCTCAATTTTCTACTAACATTTAAACAAGCTGATGAAGCCACCCGTCGCTCTCTCGCACTTTCCTTCCCTCCTTAATTGGAGCTTTCCCTCCTCCTGCTTGCAGTCACCTCTGGCGGAAGTAGTCATTCACAAGCCGGATTGACTGCCCGGGGCTGTTCTACAGCTGTAACCAATCAAGCAGCCTTATCTCCACTCTCTAAAAGAACGGAGGATTTACAAGTGCCGCAACCAAGGAAGGAGGGCGACATGGCTTCCATTTAGAGGTTCAGCTGCAGGGGTGGGAGTGGGGGGGAGCCCTCTGCTCATTACTCCCAGGATTTTCATTTTTACCCCATTTGGGGTAATTTACCCCGTTCCCTGACCTCTGTTTTAGAGCAATTGTATTTGTAAACATCATGAGACTATTTTTGACGTAGTTGTTTTCTTCTGCAAGTAAGTATCAACATTTTCCATGTGTACGAACAGATGGTATATTCAGATACAAAACATACTAGGGTACTGTTCTGCTTTATTTGATAAGGCAGAAAAGTCCCATTTTGGAGTTGAAGAGAAATTGGTGAAATGTTCCTGTTTCATTGGAGCTTCAATTTCAAAACATGCTTTGTTAAAAAGTGTTAAAAGAATATGTTTCAGAAAGATGTTAGTTCCCTGCCTCCTTCCCAAACCTTTCCTTCTGTGGAGAATAACCCTATTCAATTTAGGACAATTTGCTTTTCCCACAGTAGACGCCTGTGACACAACTCATTTAATTCAGCAATTCCTGTCTTCAGATGTCCACAGAGGCTATTGTGAACTGTGACATTTGTTGTTTCTGGATACTGTGAAAATGTAAGATTATGAATCCATAGTATAATATGAGTCTGTTTGGTACAAGAGGCAGTATGTCTCTAGGTATCCGTTACTGGGGAACATAAGTAGGCATCTTCCATGTGGACTTCTCACAAACAACCAAATGAATGCTGTGTGAGCAGAACACTGGAAAGACTTTCTAGCAAGAGTCTTCTTGCACTCTTAAGAATCTTTTGGAAGGAGTGTTGGGGGCTTTAGAGGGAATGAGGGAGCAGGAAAGTACTTTTTCATAATTTTCCTTTTGCTCACATATAGACATGAAAAAGCAATATATTTCAAAGTTCTTAATACAGTGGTGCCTCGCTTAACGAGCGCTTTGTTTAACGACAAATTCGCTTAGCGATGGCTTTTTCGGAGCGATCTTGCGCTCCATTTAACGATGTTCCCTATGGGCGATTTTCGCATAGCGACGTTTGGGACCATGCTTCGCATAGCGATGACAGTTTGGGTCCCCCTGTTTCGCTTAACGATGGTTTTGACAGCCTCATGTTGGCTGTTTTTTATACGTTTGAAATGTTTAAAAATGTTTAGAATGCTTAAAATCATAAGTGCACTTAATAAACCCTTTTTAAAACTAATTTGACTTTGTTCCGACTCTTTTTAAATTTGTTGTAATTTTTTTCCCCCATTGAGATGCATTGAATAGGTTTCAGTGCATTTCAATTGGGGAACCGCGTTTCACTTAGCGATGTTTCCTATGGCGATTTTCGCTTAAGGACGGCAATCTGTTCCCATTGGAACGGATTATCCGGTTTTCAATGCATTTCTATGAGAAACCGTGTTTCGCTTAGCGATGTTTTCCCATAACGATGACTTTTTTGGAACCAATTAAAATCGTTAAGCGAGGCACCACTGTACTGTTTTTTGGATCACCTAGCCTGATGAAGAATTCTGGAAAACTTGGAAGCTTGTACATTTTTTTAAAAAAATGTTTGTTCACATTTCAAGTCCTTAATAGCTATTCCTTTATTACTTTCTGTATAGGTAATACTCGTGAGTAATAAATTTCATTTTATCGTGTCAAAAACCATGAAATATTAAGGCAGTCAAATAGTCAATTTTTTTCATGGCTCTAAAAAGGCAAACTGGTAGGTCCTGTGACTGAAAATACAAAATTAGGAATATGAATGTTACTATTTATTCCTCATACCAGCAGAATTCTTTGAGTGAATGATAAATGCCAGAGCAGTCATTTGAAACGTCTTACTCTGTTTACTGAATACCAATACTGACTTTCTTTTCAGACAGTTGGCTGAAGAAAAATATCAAGAAAATCTTAAAAGAATGCAAGAGCTTAGATTCCGTAACTTTCATCAAGCAAATATAGATGTGCTCCATGTAAGAAGAGATTCTATTTTTCATATAAGTTTTCCAGAAATTGAGACAACTTTTATTATTTTTACCTAACAGTTGTGGATAACAGTTGCATAATGTAAGCAAAGCTAAGTTTTGATCTGTTCTCTGTAGGCAAGTAAAGAGCCCCAACTATGATTTTTGTGGGTTCATGCATGCACTTTATGTATGGGAAGAGCTAGTCAGTTTTGACCTAAGACATTTTGCTGCATGAGTCAAAGTACTAGATCCTACTGTTCTCAATCCACATTTAGAAGCTGACCAAATAGCCTGTTGAATCTTAATAACTACAGGACAGCATCTTCCACTGCATCTGAGGGGAGCAAGATAGCTTAGGGGGTACAGGGTAGGCTGCTTGGTGAAAAGTTTGTCTTTCAGCACCTTGTCTCTGCTCTGTCCTCCCACTCCCAGCACCTGATGGCTGAGATGCTTGCCTCACTTTCCTTAATGGGAGTTGAGATGCTTTCCCCATTTTCCCTAATGATAAGTAGTCCTGGAGCAAATCACTTCTTTGTTCTCTTCTTTGTCCTTCTCCATGTCTACCACCTAGCTTGTAGGTGGTCCACGGTATTGTGGAAGTTCACATAAACAGCATAATTTGTATTTCTGTGGAACATCTATCCAGGCTTGTGCATAGGCATGACTTTGAAATATGAAAACTCCAGTTGTCAGGCTCCTGAGTACTGAAAAAGCTTTCAGCACTATTCTGTGATACTGATAAACTCATTAATAAAATCAGTGAGAACGAAATTTTATTATCAAGAAAACAAACAAAAAAATCCAAAATACATTTCTGCTATCAAACTATCACAGAGAAAAAACAGGGGAAAAAAACAAAACATGTGTGGAAGTCATCCCATAGTCAAAACAGAGGCTTCTACAAATTAGACTGTAGACAGTGAAGAAGTAAGAGAGCTCACATATACATATAGTATAAAGGGAGACCAGACATCTTAAAAAATTATATTATATACTAAACACTTTGCAGCAACTTATGATAATAATTTTTCAATTAGATCCAGATGCTATACTTGCTTCAGCCATCAAGGTTATGTATGACTACTACCTGGATGGTAATACTAGTGGCAATCAGTACTCTAGATCAGTGGTTCTTAACCTTGGGTTACTCAAGTGTTTTTGGACTGCAACTCCCAGAAGCCTTCACCACCAGCTGTACTGGCTGGGGTTTCTGGGAGTTGCAGTTCAAAAACACCTGACTAACCCAAGGTTAAGAACCACTATTCTACACCTGGATGGTAATACTAGTGGCAATCAGTACTCTAGATCAGTGGTTCTTAACCTTGGGTTACTCAAGTGTTTTTGGACTGCAACTCCCAGAAGCCTTCACCACCAGCTGTACTGGCTGGGGTTTCTGGGAGTTGCATTCAAAAACACCTGACTAACACAAGATTAAGAACCACTATTCTAGATATGAGACAGAGCAGAGACCCTTGGTGATCTAAATGCAGATTTTCATCAATAAATACTTGATGAATATCAATTACTGGGAACATAGTTATTTATTGATGGATAATAAATTCCAATTCAGTAAAAATCAGTTTTCAAAAGTCATGAATTATATTTCAGCCATACAATTAATATAGGTAGGTACTGAATTAACAACAAATCTCCCAAAGTATGGAAAGGAAGTTTTATTAATATAGTTCATTTAAACAGGTTAAGTACCATCTATTGAGTAACTTATGCTATGTTCTTTGAGGCTATCCAAAATGATTTTTTAAACAGAGCAGACTACCATAGTCTATTCCAATCTTTATCATTAATTTGATCCCTAGCTCTTCTTAAAACCTGTCTTACTATTATAAAGCTTGTAGAGCTTCCCCTTATCACGACAATAGAACCACAACAAAAAACACGCTGATCACCATATTCACCCAATCTCCTGAAAAAGACAAAGCTGATCCCACAGCTATAAATACTCAGCTAGCCCACAAAACTGCACCAGAGCACAGACAGAGTTCTGACTTTTGTCCTCTGAAGACGCTGGCCACAGAGACTGGTGAAACGTTAGGAAGAAAAACCTTCAGAACAGAACATGGCCAAACAGCCTGAAAAACCTACAACAACCATTGGATCCCGTCCATGAAAGCCTTCAAGGACCCAACATAACTTATGTCTCTCAATATATTAATTTTGAATGGGAGTGAGAATAAAAATGGAATGAGTGCTGATAATAAATTTGCTGCATGTTTAAGAACAGAATCCATCAAATGTAGTTGAATAGAATAGAATAGTTGGAAAGGACCTATAAGGCCAACAGGTCTAACCCCTTGCTCAGTGCAAGAATCCAAATCAAAGTAATCTGCCAGATGGTTGTCTGTGTCTAACCCCTTGCTCAGTGCAAGAATCCAGATCAAAGTAATCTGCCAGATGGTTGTCTGGCTTTGTCTTGAATGCCTCTAGCAGTGAAGCGTTCACCACTCGCAAGGTAATTGGTTCCATTGTCTTTCTGCTCTAACAATTCAGACATGTTTCCTGATATTCAGCCTAAATCTGGCTTCCTGTAGTTTGAGCCCATTATTATATGTAATGTACTCTGAGATAATTGAGAACAGATCCTGCTGTTCATTTGTATGACCTTTCACGTATTAGAAACGTGCTATCATACCTCCCCTCTTCTTTTCTCAAGGGTAAACATGCCCAGTTCTTTCAGTCTTTCCTCACTGGGCTTTGTTTCCAGTTCCCTGATCATCCTTATGGTCTTCCTCTGAACTTGTTCCAGTTTGTTGGCATCTTTCTTAAAGTGTGGTGTCCAGAACTAGAGACAGTACTCTAAATGAGTCCTAACCGGTGCTGAATAGAGGGGGAGGACTAGCGCATCATGGGATTTGGAGATGATACTTCTGCTAATCACCCTAAAATAGCATTTGCCTTTTTGCAGACACGAATGCACCCTAAAATAGTATTTGCCTTTTTGCAGACACATAATACTATTGCTTTAATAGACTTAATAGGTATATCAAAGCCACAGTTCATTTCAAGTTGTTCTGGATTAACGCACATACTACATTAAGACCTCCTGAGTTTTCCAAGCATGTTTCAAACAGAGTGTGCTTCTTTCTATAGAATTGTTCATTTGTATTTAAGAAGTACCAAAAGAAGACTGTGGCTAGAATCTTCTAGTACATTTCTGCTCTGCATAATGTAATTTTCAGTAGTGAATTGTTGCAAGCAACATTCCCTCTAATTTTCCGCCAGTACCAAGCAGAAACCCCACGACGTGCATGCAAAGTTCCAGCTGCAACTGGCCCAAATGAGCAGCAACACTAAATGCAAATGTGTGACACCAATGCAGCACTGTGTAGCACCTTAGAGGGAATGTTGGTTGCAAGTTAAGTAGTTAAGCATTCCCTGTTGCACACAGAGTCATAAAATTGGTGCATGATAGAAAATACTGCTAAAAATTACACCCCTGGCATTATGCCATTGGGCATAAATACAGCATATTTGACTATGTTAACCTACCTTTTGTTAATAATGTACAAATCAAAGTTAGTCTTTATGAAGTTAAATGGTGTTCTTGCCAAGTTTGCTGATTTGCTTCCCACAATGTTTTAAAATCAAGCAACAGTTCATATTAAAAGAAAAACTTGAAAATTCCTGCAGTTCTTTCAGTGAGAATGTTTATTACATTGAGACTATACTGTGATCTAACTTTCTGTCCTTTTGTTCCAAATAAGCAATCTGATCAACAGATTAAGGAGCACTGGATTAAGTCTCAGCCTGTCACTACATTCGACTATTTGTCCATAGGACACAATGATCAAAGTGACAGTGATACAGCAGGCAGACTCTGTATTTCTGCTCCAGCGGACCATGGTAAGAGTTTGGTGTTAAATGTTGTGCTAGTTCCCTGTGTAGTTAAAAACTAATAACCAAAAAAAGGTGACCACACATACACATTTTGAGGAGAATGCTTTTAAGATAACCATCTTAAGGTAATCTGTCCATTTCTACTTGCTGTATAAAAAATCCACATTATTTTTGTATCTGCTATGTACATATTTACTATCTTCAACACAGAGTATTACTATCTTCAGTCACAGATGGGACTTCAGATCTTAACTGTTCAGAGAGGACTAAACTTGTGGGAGTTAATCAGAATGCAGTATATTTGATGCTTATGCATCAGAACCCCTCCTCGTATTGAGCAACAACTCCTGTGGCCTAAACCAAGCAGTTAGAAGCAAACTGGGAAAGGCTATGAGAAACTTTGTGTGTCTCAGTGTGGGATATGCTTCTGGTTGTATATTGGGCCAGTGAATCAGGAGAAATCTGTTGTGTGATCACACTTTTTTAAATAGATCAAATAGTTAAATGGATCAAAATGTTGTGTCTGCACCCAGGACCAGCTCAATACATTTTGCTGCTTAGGATAATGGACAGTATTCCCCCCCCCCGCCCGCCTCTGGCCACAAGCAACTACATCTGTTAAGGATAACAAGATAGGGCTATCTCAAAGCTGTAGAACTTGCTTCCAGGGGAGGGACGGTTGGCCCCTGCTCTTCCACTGACAAGCAAAGACTTTTCCCTTCAGATAGGATTTCAGCAGTTGAGCAAGTTGCTTAGGAATAGACTTCTGGAAGGCAGATGCTGTTTTTTGTTTTTTGTTTGTTTGTTTGTTTTTTGGTTGTTTCTCGTTTTTGTTTACTTTTTAATGATCTGCTTTTAAATGGATGTAAAGTATTTTAATTCAATGGTTACATGCCATAAATGACATTATAGCACATTACAATAACATTACATGTGTGTCCAAATAATTTCAGACTTAGAGGTCCCATACATACATGGAATGTATATATGTAATAATTTTGTGCAGCTTTCACACTCTTTTTTGAACAAAAAACTTCCCATGCAGTTTAAGGTTAATGCTGAGCAAGAAGATGAAGGGTGCTTGAACAATGTAAGGCTTTATTATCTGAGCAGAATTTAAGGTTTAGGATGGCTGATTTATATTCAGGTTATGTTCATTTCTTTTTATTTGTAATACAGATTTTATTGCATGATTTGTTTTATTTTTAGGTGATTGACTGTGATAATATTCATTAAATATTGGATGTGTTTAACAGCTTTGTAATGCTCTTATTCGTATTTTATTTAAGCCATCTAGAGTCTGTGGAATATAGCAAAATAAATCTCTTTATTTTTAAACTGTATTACTTGATCCATATGAGAGGTATTAACCTTGAGCTTGTGTAAAAGCTGAACACTCGCATCCTAGGTTTTAGCAGAGCGAGCAGCACCAAACTAACTTGTGGATTCAGCCCGAGTATTGGAATAGTTAGTACTCCATTCTTTGGAAAGAAATCATATCCACATGTCTTTTTTTAGGGAAATAGGAAAGGTAGTGGGGTTTTTTAGAGACGTATATTGAGAGAAGGAAGACAATGAGAATCCTAGTTCTAGATAACTAAGATGCAGCCATGCCCCCCCCCCCCACTGGTGAAAATCCTTCTTCTCATTCAAGACAAAGGCCAAGGTAGCAAGTCATGTCTCCTGGACATTTTATTTCTAGTTTTTGTTCAGGTGATTTTCTAGTTTTCTTTCTGACATCTGGGTTTTCATGGGCCAAAATAAAACCATATGTATAGACCAGAATGTAGGCCCTTTTCTTGTTTCTGAATCTGCTATCGAAAAATGAGCTGGCTTTGCCTTGTTCAAAACTTTTTCTTGTTAGTATCTAGCCCAGCTCTTCACTTCATTTTCTTGCAGCTTGTTTTAGTCCATAGATGCTTTTGGGACTTTGCATTCTTTCTAGGTATTTCAAATAAAGATGGCTGCTATGTGTAGATTTTTATCTTGTGTATAATTATGCAGGAAATTTATTTTTATATCTATATGTTCGACATGCATCTTTCTGCATCAATTTGCGTCCCACATTTTTTCATCCCATATATTTATTTTTTTACTTACTTGTATTGTAAGCCGTTTTGGATCTTGCAAAAAAGAACAGCAGAATAGAAATTAAATAAATAAATAAAGCTTTACAGTTAAGAAACTCACACACAAAAAAAGGTTACGTGAAGTAATGCAAACAGAACCAAACTAGAAGTGAACATACTTGCAGGACTTAGATGACAGAATTAAAGAGAAGGATGCTGAATTGTTCTTGTAATTTCACCTGTTGGATACTGTATATGAGCAGAAGATGGGATATGAATCTTTAAGTCAATGAAAGAATTGAGATGTTTTTGGAAGGGAAGCAGCTGTACCAGCTTGCTCATGATTTAAATTTCTCTGAGGATCTTGGGTATAGGAATGTGTCAGCAAGGGAGAAAACTTCAAAGTTATGTCTCTCTGCCTGTCAAATATCTTCTTCACAGAGGTGTAACTGCTGTCAACATAATGTTCAATACTGGTAGCTGTTCATTAGTCCAGATATTTTTCACTGGTTTATTTTAAACTGATTGCCATTTATATATTTATTATATTTTTGCCCTGATTTCCCACTCACTACCCTGTCTTTCCACTACAAAAGAGTGGTCCAGGTGTCTTGCAAACATCATGAAGCAGCATAAAAACAGATTTTTTTAACAATTTAAAGCCATTACTATCACCTGATAAACAAGAGTCTTAAAATCATGGCAATAAATATCAAGCAGCTTTTAAAGCCAGTTTAAAAAGCTGTGTGTTCACACTGAAAACAGTAAGACTGGGAATTGATTGCCTTCGAGGGGGAGTATATTCTGCAATTTGGCAACAACGTGGGCGAAAGCTCTGGACCATTTTATTATTTAGTGTACCTCCACAAGTCTTCACATTTTCAGTATTGTCATTCCTTGTGGTATTATTAGAAATCTTCATCAGCTTTGTTAGAAGAAAGCAGGAGATTTTCCTCAGCTGTAAAGGCATTAAACTTATGTATATGCATGCTCTGTTTTAATATAAATAATGTATATGGGCTGAAATCCTGTTGCTTAAGAAAATACATAATATCAGTTTGCTCCTAGCTGGCAAAGAAAGACTCCCCACTGTGGTTCTCAGAGGAGGGGAGCACAAGCACTAAGCCAGCATGTCTCCCCAAGAATTACATCCGGGACCTTTTCCTTGCTGGCTAGGAATGAACTAAATATTGTTAATTTTCTTATGCTAAGTGACAGGATTTCAGTCATTGTTTCTGACAAGGAAAGCAGTGAATCAAGAATGCACAATGTATTTTTTTCTTTACTTCTGTTGAAGACTAGGTGCACAGGATTACAGGAGCAATGTTAACTTGGAGATTCACCCTTTGAAATCAGAAATTATCTAAGCTTGTTTCTGTCTTTTCTAAGAAAATTGTGCCAACACTTCTTTCTAAGACAATAAGAAAACAAGTATTCATTGGAGAAATAAATGTGCAATAGGAAAAGTGACAGAAATAATAGCTCTTGCTAAGTTGGAGACGTCAGAAACCATGGCCACTACTTTTCATCTTCAGAGTATAAGGCAAAGTATCTCTTTCTTCAAATGATGAGGGAAAGGTGTGAAAGGGAAGAAACTGACACCATCAACTAGACATGGGCACTTCATATTCGTTTCTTTGGAGAAATTAATACAAACTGCAGCACTGCAGTGGCCCAGTCCTGCCCCCCCAGAACTGGCCAGCCACTTACCGGGCTCCATGTGACTCTTGGCTCCATTGTCATCATTGTCGCGTCGATCCCAGAAGGAGCCTGGCCAATCCTTCCCCACCCCCCTGAGCAGTTGCCCACTTCAGTGCAGGGGGATTGGCACCCTGACAACAGAACCAAGTGCCACGCAGAGCCTGGTAGGTGGCCTGGCGGGATTGGGCCACCACTGCACTTGTGGTGGCTACGGTTTGTATTCATTTCTCCATGGAAACAAATACAAAATGCCTATACCTATCAGCAACCCAAAGAATAGCAATATAAAGTGGCAGGAAGGTCAGCATTAGTCAGAGCAAAAAAGGTCACAACTGAGGAGGTCCTTTCTCATCCTGATTTCACTCAAGAAGACGTACATCTTCTTGAGTTGCATCCAGTCACTTCCAGCAGGTTCTCTCTCTCTCTCTAACTTCTGCTCTTTCTCTTTCTGTGTAGCATTCACTGTGCACATATTAAAGTCACAGAATTGAATAGCAAAGGATTCACCAGCTTGAAATAGGAAAAAATGGTGTCACATTTTTAAACAAGTTTCATCAACTTGTCTATTCATAGTAGCACAGGAAGGAAAACAGTTTTAGAGGTAGCTTCATCCTTGAAAGTACAGACACAAAGTAGAAACATAATCTGAAAATCAGGGACCATGAGGAAAAAACCAGAATGGACCTCTTGGGTGGATAGAATATCAGAGGAGTATGTACAAGTGGAATGAAAACAGCAAGCATTCTGTAGGGTAGGTGGAGGAAGAATTGACTGGTTTTTCAAAACTGTTAAACTATCATGTACAGATTTACATCGTTCTGTTTATTACACTTACCTCCTTTTAACTGAGAACTTATTCATGGCCTCTGTGAATCACACTTAGAGTGATTCGTGCATGCACAGAGTCTCTTGACTTCTGTGTGAGCAAGCATAGCACGTTAGCATAGGCCCCGCCCTACCTCCTACGAGTACCGTGGTGTTGAACTTCTCTCCGTAGTTCTTTTCAGCCTCCATGTTGGGAGCATCTTGCAATGTCACATTCCAGCTTCCATGAGTTTTGCCTGAAAATAGAAAGAAATATAGTTTTAATTAGTATTTGTGGTTTTTTTAGAAGTTCCTGGAAGCTTCAAACCTCTTTCCTTTGGGGGCTTTGGCCCCCTCCTCCTTTATAGAGAAGTTTTTCTTAGAGTTAGGTAGTTCATGGCCTCTAAAGGGCTGTTCAAATGTTGCATAGTT